CTCTAGCAGGATAATACTAGCAGGATTATACTAGCGGGATAACTCTAGCAGGGATAACTCTAGCAGGGATAACTCGAGCGGGATAACACTAGCAGGAATAACTCTAACAGGATAATACTAGCAGGGATAACTCTAGCAGGATAACTCTAGCGGGATAACTCTAGCAGGATAATACTAGCAGGATAATACTAGCGGGATAATACTAGCAGGGATAACTCTAGCAGGATAATACTAGCAGGGATAACTCTAGCAGGGATAGCTCTAGCAGGATAACTCTAGCGGGACAACTCGAGCAGGGATAACTCTAGCAGGATAATACTAGCAGGATAATACTAGCGGGATAACTCTAGCAGGGATAACTCTAGCAGGGATAACTCGAGCGGGATAACACTAGCAGGAATAACTCTAGCAGGATAATACTAGCAGGGATAACTCTAGCAGGATAACTCTAGCGGGATAACTCTAGCAGGATAATACTAGCAGGATAACTCTAGCAGGATAATACTAGCAGGATAATACTAGCGGGATAATACTAGCAGGGATAACTCTAGCAGGATAATACTAGCAGGGATAACTCTAGCAGGATAACTCTAGCGGGATAACTCTAGCAGGATAATACTTGCAGGATAACTCTAGCAGGATAATACTAGCAGGATAATACTAGCGGGATAATACTAGCAGGGATAACTCTAGCAGGATAATACTAGCAGGGATAACTCCAGCAGGGATAGCTCTAGCAAGATAACTCTAGCGGGATAACTCGAGTGGGATAACTCGAGCGGGACAACTCGAGCAGGGATAACTCTAGCAGGATAATACTAGCAGGGATAACTCTAGCAGGATAATACTAGCAGGATAACTCTAGCAGGGATAACTCGAACGGGACAACTCTAGCGGGATAACTCTAGCAGGATAACTCTAGCGGGACAACTCGAGCAAGAAACCCACACAGTGGTGGTGGTGGTCGACACAGAGCGCTGCGCGGTGGAGCGGCGCAGCTCGGCGACATCTTGTGCGTCCACCCTCTGTGCGATTGACCTTTCATCCTCTGCGCAAAACAGCGCCGGGCGGTGTAACGCGCCAGAGGTCGACTTCGTCCAGCCGGGGCACGGCACGCGCCGCCGCTGCTGCTGCTGCTGCCACCGCAAGCTCCTTTGAGCCTCAATGCTCAATGCTCATTTAAGCAGGAAATCACTTCGGCTTGACTTGTCAGATATTGGCTCCGGCTGTGCTCTCGGTGTATTCTCTCTCTCTCTGTGTGTGATCCACAGTCGCGAGGCAGCACGCAGGGATATGAAGCTCCGAACGCATTTATTTATCTCCCGTTCATCGTGGAGCGTTTGTCGAGCCACCTGCTGAATTGTCACGAGACGGCCCCCCTAATGCCCCCCCCCCTTCCCCCCATCTTTCTCACTAAGAGGCCTCTTTGGCTTTGGGCCTGAGGGTTTGTGAGCTGCAGAACGGCTGCCCACTCCGTTGGGGGCCGCCTCCCAGCTACAGCTGTGACCCGATGACTGATTACGTATCTGAGTGGCATTCGTTTACAGTAACGCCGTATTGATACTAACGACAGCGAACACACTGATGTGCCAGTGTTCGGTATTGTATAGTCTTCATTTAAGCACAGCTTTCCCTTGAAGCAACTGTTTTTAATTATTATTAACTAAAAAATAATTTTGCAAAAGATTTATTGTCCATGACTGTGCGCTTAAATTGACCAATTATGAATGTGTAATGTCCCTTCATTCTGCCATTTGGGACCAATTTAAATAATTGCATTATGAAAACTTAAAGTGAGCTATGATAATGAGCTATAATGCCTTGTAAGATATGTACGAAGAAGTTTGTTGCACTGATTTAGTTGTTTTTATAGAGGCGGAGTCGCGAAGGAAAGGGGCCGTCCAAATTCCAAGCCTCTTAAACTGGGCCCTGCGTTAACGTAAACAAACATTCAACGTGTTTTCTCTGGCAAATACGCTTTCTTTTTTAATGCACTTTCTTATTTCTTTTAGAGAAAATTATTAAAACATCAATCGGATGGGGAAAAAACACTTTCATAAATACGACTGATATATCAACATTGAGGGTCTCAAAGGGTGGGGGGGCGGTGAGTGGGGGGGGGGCGGTGAGTGGGGGGGGGGCGGTGGGTGGGGGGGGGGGCGGTGAGTGGGGGGGGCGTTCTCTCCCATTGCCCCCCCCCGGATCCCCCGCTGGTCCTAAGACATCGGTTGAGGTCATCCCGACCGCAGCCTCTGACACGGCCACCGCTTCCTTCCTGCTCCTTCATCCCCTCGCGATTGTTGTGAAGGCGACCCAGGACTGGCCCTTCAAAGTCCGCTCAGACGATAACACATCATCACCATCACCACATCACCATCACCACCACATCACCATCACCATCACCACATCACCACCACCACATCACCACATCACCATCACCACCACCACATCACCACCGCCACATCACCATCGCCGCATCACCATCACCACCACCACATCACCACCGCATCACCATCGCCGCATCACCATCGCCGCATCACCATCATCACCACCACATCACCATCACCACATCACCATTACCACATCACCATCACCACCACCACATCTCCATCGCCACATTACCATCATCACCACCACATCACCATCGCCGCATCACCATCACCACCACCACATCACCACCACCACATCACCATCGCCGCATCACCATCACCACCACCACATCACCATCGCCGCATCACCATCACCACATCACCATCGCCACATTACCATCACCACCACCACATCACCATCGCCGCATCACCATCACCACATCACCATCGCCACATCACCATCACCACCACCACATCACCATCGCCACATTACCATCACCACCACCACATCACCATCGCCGCATCACCACCACCACATCACCATCGCCACATTACCATCACCACCACCACATCACCATCGCCGCATCACCACCACATCACCATCGCCGCATCACCATCACCACCACCACATCACCATCGCCGCATCACCATCGCCGCATCACCATCATCACCACATCACCATCACCACATCACCATTACCACATCACCATCACCACCACCACATCACCATCGCCACATTACCATCATCACCACCACATCACCATCGCCGCATCACCATCACCACCACCACATCACCACCACCACATCACCATCGCCGCATCACCACCACCACATCACCATCGCCGCATCACCATCACCACATCACCATCGCCAGATTACCATCACCACCACCACATCACCATCGCCGCATCACCACCACCACATCACCATCGCCACATCACCATCACCACCACCACCACATCACCATCGCCGCATCACCACCACCACATCACCATCGCCGCATCACCATCACCACCACCGTGTGGATTGAAGTCTTACCCTAAGTTCGGAGCTAAATGTCAATGTTGACGTCTGATAGCCACGAGAGGGCTTCACTCCTTGCAACTGTTGGAAACGCTCATCCCTGTTCGAGTTCCCAAAGCGAAATGAACCCTCACGATTATTTCGTGTTCTGTATTATAGTGTTCTTGTCAAGCTAATCTGGGTGAGACCCTGTCCGAGGTCAGATGTTAATTGCAAATGGCCAAGAGTCGAACCCAGGATGATAAGGGCATAGTGTAAATTCTCCGATAAGCGTATTCACGATATAACTCGACAACATGAGCACGTTGGGCCAAATCACATTCAACGCACGCAAATAATCAGATTTGGAAGCTAAGCCGGGTTCTGCCTGTTTAGCATTTGGATGGGAGACCAACATGGAATAACAGACGCTGTAAACATGGCGAGTGCAGCAATGCATTTTCAAAATCTTGTGTGGAGTTTTGAATAAGAAATCAAACAATACCCAAAACCCTATGCGACACACACACACAGTACCGTATACGTATATTCTCACACGCACGGGAACACGCCTGCACACGAATGTTACGCAATTAAATAGCATTTTTGTGGCGAAAATGCACTGGCGAATATCGGCAAGAACATTTTCATCTGCCAATGAAGGAACCAATGCCTTAGGGAAGAAGATGCAACGTTACTTTAACGGCTTGGCAGGCTAAAAGGAGAAAAAGTGTTCGGCACAGTGAACCCCCTTTAACAAGCAGCGCCTTGCAGAGCGATAAATCGCGAGGGATCCTGCTAAGTGCCCCAGCTGGCGAGATTACATTCGTGGAAATGTTTAGCTCATCGTGAAACAGGGGCCCGCGTTCCGGACCCACGGCTGACAGAAGAGGCAGCCCCAAAACATCTCCCTTCTCGCACGCAAGTCACCCCCAACTCCATCCATCTCTGCAATAGAAGCCTCGAGTGTGACTCTGAGCAGCACTGTACGGTCCTGTGCCTGCCTGGTTTTGCAAAGCCCCACGGCAGCACCGTGCGTGTGTTTGGTACAACCTTATTGTGCTCCACGTGTGTTTCACACATAATTTAAATTTAAATAAACTCTAAGCAAAGCTATTTGTTATTTTGCCGGATAAGGCAAACTGAGCTATGTAGCTCTCTTTCAGAAGCGACCTGGCCACACGTGATAGCTCAGCGAAGTTGGCTTATCGCGTGGACATTTACAGCAGACATACTCTCAACGAATGTTTCTAAATATGGAGGGAAAAACCGGAGGACCCGGAGAAAAATCCACACGGACATGCAGAGAGAAGCACGCAAACTCCAAATATACAACAGGCGTCAGTGTCGGGATCCAACCCACGACCAAATTAACTATTATACGTGGAATCATCCAAGGGGGGCTTGGGCAGGACACGCCATGGCTACAAGGGACGGTGGTGGCGATGTTGAGACTCGTGAGCCCAGCTGGCGAGTGCGCACCTTGAACCCACCTGCAGCAAGCGGCGTGAGCTGCCAGCCCTGCGCTGAGACTTCCACACTCACACAGAGAGAGAGATGTCAACCACGACACAAACACAAACACGTGACGACAGGTTTTCGTCAGCTTGTCAAACACTGGCGCAGGTCCACAATTATGTTTTTTTTTTTAATCCCCTTTACAGTTTCATGCCTGCTTTAAAAGGCTTCGACAAAATCGTTGCTTAATAAAAAAAAGGTTTTTTTTACAAGTCGCTCCTTGGCTTAAAATCAACAATAGGATGCACTGAGGACAAGGGGGAGTGGTTCTGTTTGACAACGTCTTTACATTTCCTTTGGAATTCGCCTGCAAAGGCAATTGTTCGGCTTTGTTTGCCACAGGTACAACGACTGTTATCGAGCAGTCCGCATTACGTAAAACAAATCGGCAATTAGAACCTTACGTACAGAAATGGTCCGTGCCTATAAACATGGGGACAGTTCACCAGGAAGCTGGCTGACAGCGGTCAAGCAAGCCTGACCGCTGAAACCGGTTCAGAATGCTCTTGCATTTGAACCAATACTGCTCATGAAAGGCATTTCCCAAGAAGGCCGCGTGGCCAACGAGTCACGTACGAAAGAATGTACCGAAAAAATGTTTTGTGAAGACGCGAATTTGATAGGCGGCATCATGAATTACATTAATGTTGTTATAGGGTCATTAACGTAACCTCGTGCGGGAACTCGGAAGCCACCAGAGCCCTGAGAAAACCCCTTTAATCTCGGCGGCTGTCAACAGAAACAGCAACACTCCGGTTCGTGTGCCCTTCAGTGCCATGCGGGCAGCTCCTGCCTGCGTCTGTCTGCACCGACACGAGATTTTGTACCTTCACAGAAAGAAGGAACCCCCCCCCGTCGACGGCTCCCTGCGGTTCCCTGCCGGTGTGGACGCGTTTGCGGGCGCTGACGCGATGGCTCTGAGACTGCGCTTCAGAAAAGGGTTTCTGTGAGAGGGGGAGGCAAGAGGACGTCGGAGAATTGGCAGCGTACGTGGAGATGACCAAAGTGAAAACAGCCCCAATGCGTAGGCCACTGTGACGATGCGCCGCTCGCTCCTCGTCCATTGTGACGACACGAGGGAGCAGCGTTCTGGGCTATTGGTGGCGGGACAGGCACGTGGAGGAGGTGGAACGTCTGACTATTTATTTTGTTGCTTAGATTCCCCCCACAATGTTGATAACGATCATCGTGTGCTATCAATCGAAGCCAGAGATTTTTGGGACAAAGGGTGGACAAAGCCATTTCGCCAACAAAGCATAACAATAATAGCAATGATTATTAGTTAGTTTAACACGTAGGCTTTCACCCAGGAAGCCACACTGTGTATTGTGTTGAACTTCGTTCGTACCGTACGTAGCCAACTGCGCTGATCGGAGGTGCGGGATGGGGAACAACAAACTAAATACAAAAAGCAGTTCTAAAGAAATCAACATTCAACCGAGATGATTGAATTATTCTGACCGGACTGGGTAGAGGAATGCGATGAGGATGATGCCGTGGCCTGAAGGAGAAGCAGGAGAGCCAATCACGAAACTTGCCCGAGGCGCCGGAGCGACTTTCTGTGCAGCAGGTGGGCCCAGCTGGTGTCACCGCAGCAGACAGCAAGCGTGGTGGGAAACGGTCCTGCTGCAATAAACGAGCAAGTGGGACAGGCCGTGCCTTTGTGAGTCACGGCGATGCGAATCCTTACCCCCACCCCCCACCCCCCGTCAAGTCAACACCGGGCGAGACGGTGCCATCCGTTCTCAGGAGGAACCTTGAATGGCTCCGTGTTTATTGACTAGATGATTGCGGTAGTGCGTGTTGTTCGATTCATGGCTAACGTGAGTCACGCGGAGTCGCTGATTTTGATGTTTACCCACAACAGCTCTTCGCAGTGGAGGTCCAATTAGAGGGTGCGCGCGATGTCAGCTCATCTCCTCCCTCCTGCTCCTCCTATTGTCCATTGTCCTGGATTCGGTCGATTTGAATGCAGATGGATCAATTGCACGGGCCATTTTGTAATGTGTTTAAATAGATAGGCAGGTGACTTGTATTAAAATAATCACCCATTGAGAAGAGGAGTGTCTTTCTGGGGAGACCGGACGTTAGGTCGGCGCCAGCGAAACAACGAATTGGAATGTGTAAGCAAGACAGCGACAAGAAACCCCCAAAGGGAAACGCACCGTAACAAATAGAGCGCCGAATATATCGAAATCCATACTTTGATTTAAAGCTTTCGTGACTGCAGTAATTCATGTTCTTAGTTTTTTCGGTAAAGTCACGTTGAAGAGAAACAACAAAATAACAAAATATACATAAAACAATAAAAAATTCTCACGACGTTTCGACCATAACTCAAACGGTCATCATCAGGTGTGTTGGTTTGCATAAATTTATTTTTAAACGGCACATTTATTTATTTATAAAAAAAACGTTGGCGTCACGCGCAGCGATTTGGCAGTTTGCCCAGGACTAGTCCATCTATTTTTTTGAAAAGAGGAGGGGGGAGACGAAATTTTTTATAATGTATGCTGTCTGAAAGCCACTGTAAGCGTGAACAATCAATTAAGAACTGAAATGGTTTATCAAATAACTACCATCGTCGAGTAATTCTTTAATTTTGTTGTTGTATTCTATTTTATCCATGAAGACAGTAGCATTGCCTTTGTCAGCTGAGAGGACTACAATATCATTCCTCTTTTTTAATTTATATAATTCAAAACGCTCATCTTTGCTGAGGTTGCTAGCTGGCATCTTAGCGTTTTTGAGGTTGACGATGGTAGTTATACAAAAATAAAAAGAGATCCCACCAACAGCCTCGTCACACAAACCAACAAAATAATTTCTGATTCAACCGCATTAATTGATCAATCTAAACAGTTTTCGTTGAAACCTTCTGCTGCCAGGCCACCAAGATTATACGGCTTACCAAAAATACATAAACTTGATACACCTCTTCGTCCCATAGTCTCTACTATCAGCTCCCCCACCTACAAACTAGCTCGTTTTTTGTCTGAAATCCTGCGTCCTTTCACTGGAAAGACCACCTCTGCGGTACAAAATTCTACTCACCTGGTATCGACAATCAAGGGTATTTCCCTGTCCCCAGACGACCTGCTTGTCAGTTTTGATGTAGTTTCCTTATTCACCAAGGTTCCTGTACCTGACACCATTGCAATCATTGAAGACTTGGTTCATCAAGGACTAAACACTGAGGTACCCCCCCTGGTGAGACACTGTTTAACCAATACATACTTCACTTGGAATGGAACTTTCTACAAACAAACTGAGGGCACCCCAATGGGCTCCCCCCTCTCTCCAGTTATAGCTAACATTTTCATGGAGAAATTTGAGACTGACGCCATCCAGACTGCCACTCTGCGCCCAACCTTATGGAAGAGGTACGTGGATGACACTTTTGTCATCTGGCCACATGGCCGGCCTGCTCTAGACCAATTCTTCGACCACATCAATTCCATACACCCAGCCATCAGATTTACCATGGAAGTCGAAATAGATGGCAAGATACCTTTTTTGGATGTCCTAATTAAAAAGAGACCTGATGGTTCAATGAGCCACTCTGTCACAGGAAAGCTACCCATACGGATGCTTATCTGAAACCGGATTCCCACCACCATCCATCACAGAAGAATTCTCTCATCAAGACTCTGTATCATAGAGCCCAATGCATATCCGACCAGGAACACATAAGCAGTGAACTCAAGCACGTACACCAAGCTCTTAGGGCTAATGGTTACTCCGACTATACAATCCGCAAAGCTATCACTCAAACCATGAAGAAGAACCCTCTTGAGGAGCCTTTCAAAACCATCACTTTACCCTACATTGCTGGGATCACAAAAAAGATCTCCAAAATCTTGAATAAACACAAGATCCAGGTCCGTTTCAACACATTACATAAAATCCGTGATCTGGTTCCGTCTGTAAAAGATGTTATTCCGGACATACAATACCCTGGTGTCTACAAACTAAGTTGCCTCTGTGGTAGTAGTTACATTGGAGAAACCAAACGCCATGTCTCGGACCGCATTCGTGAACATAAAGCAGACCTTAAACACGGTAGGACCAACACCTCGGCCGTAGCAGATCATTGTTCTAATTCAGTAGGCTCACATGCCATTGACTTTTCCAAGACGGAGGTTCTTTGTAAGCCATCTGGCTTCCATGAGAGATTCGTTCATGAGGCTATCCACATATACAAGCACAGAGACAATTTCAACCGAGAAGATGGATTCTATCTTAGCAATCATTGGAAAGATTTGATAAACCATTTCAGTTCTTAATTGATTGTTCACGCTTACAGTGGCTTTCAGACAGCATACATTATAAAAAATTTCGTCTCCCCCCTCCTCTTTTCAAAAAAATAGATGGACTAGTCCTGGGCAAACTGCCAAATCGCTGCGCGTGACGCCAACGTTTTTTATAAATAAATAAATGTGCCGTTTAAAAATAAATTTATGCAAACCAACACACCTGATGATGACCGTTTGAGTTATGGTGGAAACGTCGTGAGAATTTTTTATTGTTTTATATATATTTTGTTATTTTGTTGTTTCTCTTCAACGTGACTTTACCGAAAAAACTAAGAATATGAAATCCATACTCTTTGCTTCTTTCGGTAAAGTCACGTAGGTATAAAATGAAATAAATCACGACGTTTCGGGCGCAACACACAAGCCTCCGTCATCACCTGATGACCTGATGACGGATGCTTGTGTTGCGCCCGAAACGTCGTGATTTATTTTATTTTATGCCTACGTGACTTTACCGAAAGAACCAAAGAGTATGGATTCCTGCAGTCACGAAAGCTTAAAATCAAGAATAATTAAATGTTATAATTACAATTTATTTTTTTATAATATGGTTTTGAGAAAAAAATGTGTGCCCGCATATGTCTTTACTTTCTTAAACATTTACGTGATTTACCAAATTCGTGACACCAGTTGACTCGAATCTATATCCCCATGAACAGACACACTCCACTAGGCCAATCATTACAAGCTGAATTCACTATTGTCCATTCTGGCTCCGGCAAGTTCCACTCACTCACAATACGGTGCCACGGACACTGTGGGCACACGTTTATTTATTTCACACGGTATATCTGGCCGTGTAAAGTGCACGTATCTGTCACGCTCTGTCTATGGCACATGGTTCGTCGTACGAAAACAAACCTTCCTACAAAAAACGTTTCCTTTGCCGAGGACATTACCGCCTTCTCAGATTTGGCAACATCGCGATCTAACCCAAAAACCTTTATTATTAATTATTATGAGGTACCTATTTGGTTATTGAACATCTTAACGCCTGTGTTTGTTTTTTTTGCCAGAAAGGTTAAAACTTATTTTTTTTTGATACTCGATTAAAAAAAAGTCCCAAATAGTGTCACGAAGGTCGTTTTACGACGTTTCACCACAGTGGACAGTGCGGGTTGGCAGTGCCGGACTCTCCTAGTAGCACAAGTAGCTACTACACGTGTAGTACCTACTACACATGTAGCAGCTACTACACATGTAGTAGCTACTACATGTGTAGTAGCTACTACACGTGTAGTAGCTAGTACACGTGTAGCTACTACACATGTAGCTACTACACATGTAGCTACTACATGTGTAGTAGCTACATGTGTAGTAGCTACTACACAAGTAGCTACTATATATGTAGTAGCTACATGTGTAGCTACTACATATGTAGTAGCTACATGTGTAGTAGTAGCTACATATATTGTAGCTACATATGTAGTAGCTACATGTGTAGTAGTAGTAGCTACATATATAGTAGCTACTACTACTACACGTGTAGTAGCTATGGGCCCCGCACTTTCAAGGGCCCCGCGTTAATAAACGCTTTCAAGCTATCACTTCCGGTTCAGTGATTCTGCACTTGCTCTATTACTATAGTACTATACCGCCTTCAACTTATACGAACGACTCGGTGTCATATTATCTGGCTGTGTAGCAAATAAAAAAAATACAATTACTTTACTATGCAAGTAAAAAAAATTGTGTTTTAATATTCGTGTGTTTTTTTTTATTTAGGACCCCTTTATAACATACGCTACAGGTCCTCGCACCAGCTTAATCCGGCACTGCGGGTTGGTAAAAGTGAGGCCGACCAAAGACAGGGTTCAGATATCAGTCGCCACTACTAAAGTGTCAACCATGGCCATCTATCTTGGCATTGTCGAGCTGAGAGTGCAGGGCACTCATCGTCATGGAGCAATGATCTCATTCACGATAGAGGAGAATGACTTCGGTTGTGTGGGCTGACTAGTTGCGAGCGAAGTTGTGTCGACCGTAGCTCATGGCAGTGGATTGCAATGAGCTCATGCCCTCGCTGAGGCACGAGTGGTTGGTTTAATTGCATATCTGACTTGATGAAATTGCACCGAAAGTCATCCTATGACTCTACATCTGAACAAAGAGGCTTAACTCTCTTGACGATCTAAATCGGCCTAAGCCGTCGTAACTATATTTCATGAAGAAATGTACGCAGTGTTTGTTGTTGTAACGTTCTGATCCGCCCCTACTGGACATCCGTGCGGAAAGACTCGATAGCTCATCGGATTCGTCCTGCAGTATTCATACTGATTCTGATGTTATGTGGGACCCAGGGAGAAGCCTGCCTGATGCGATTGTTTCCAAAGTCTGCATCATTTCAGCGGCATTGATTCAATACAAGAAAAAATCTGGACCGGTTTTGACAATAAGCATCCCATAAGCAGAGTCGGGCCTGCTTAAGCCAATGTCAGTGAACTACAAGATGTTAGATATGGCTGCTCGAGCAAGCCTGAATCTACTGACGAGACACTCAATATCGAAACCAGTGCAGAGTTGACATTGAATCAATGTTACTGAAAAAAAACATCCTACTCGGAGGTGCGTGTGGCCGTCGGGATGTCTACAAAATAATAGTGGGTATGTGGCGGGTCAGCTGCGTGAAGGAGGCGTAGAGCGTCTGCTTATTCACCTTGTAACTTGCATTGTGCACGAGGCCGCGGACGGTCACATCGCGTGGAGTTCGGCCGGGTGAGCGGGGGGGCACGCGCACCGTGACGCCGTCCCCCGTGCCGCCCGCATCGCCACGTCGCACACCGCTTATCCGGAATCAACGAGTCCCAGGCAGCGCCGTCCAGATGTTGGTCTGAATGCAGCAACGTTGAAGTTTCGAGGTCGAGCAGAGCTCTTTCCAGCTGCGTGCAATGGGCACGCGGTGTGCGGCGAGTTGAAAACGTCACGTCACGTTCAACACGCGTCTACGCTGTGGGAAGAAGAAAAAAAACAAGCAACGTGTATAGAAGTGCAGAGAAGAATTTATTAAATAGCGACGGTTGTATTTGTGCACCTTGTTTTCCCGTGATACTATTTACACTTTCTCATATATGATTCGTTATTTCAAAATGTATGTGCTCATTAATGCCATTATATCAGTATTGTATCACTAAGAGTCAACGATCAGTGGCTGGTTGATAACTGTGATTGTTTTATTTTTACAATATGTGAAATAATTTCTGAGCACCAGAGGTCAAGGCGAAACAGACCCACAGTCAGTGGTGGAATCCGCGTAATCGTGCTCGGGGCATCAACACGAAATTCCGAAATGCCTCTGCCCCACGCGGGCCATTCGAGCTGCAGTGAGAATGCAGAGGACATTCATTGTTCAGTTTCCCTAATTGGACCCACCTGGCCTAGCCAGTGCTGCTTCAGCACTGGCTCTTCCTGGGTTTTTTGCGATTGCAGGACAGAACAAAATTGACCCACGTGCCAACATAATTTCCCAGTAACAAACGGACAATTGTGTTATTTGTGCCTTCAGCTATAAAACACCTCGAAGAGAATTAAACAAAATCAAAGGGTGAAAGTTATCCATGGTGTGAAAAATGCTCAGGGTTTGAATTTAATTAATGAGATTTAGGCCCTGGTATGATGGCTATTTCCCCAGAAATATTTATCCGATTTTGTTAAATTCCAGCTCTGCATTAGACTTTACCCAATGGATCTATTGCGAGTCAGGAAATTATTTTAAAATGTGTTCACGTCAGCAGTCAATGGGTACATTTTATTTCTTACTCTCATATTTAAGCTACGCATTTACAGCGAGTTTATTCCTTTCCAATATACCGTAAGAAGAAGGCATGTGACCCACAACCACCTTGGGAAAATCAGTGCTACATCTCATCATTCAAATTTCATTCACGATGCTATTCACATGGAACTACGCGACACCTACAATATATTTATAAAACAATTCCCGTTCAGTTTGTAATGAGCGATTCCGTTTACTTCTATGAAATATGAATACACACGATCTTGACCTATATCAATTACACCACTTAAACCAAAACTATGGATTTGTACCTCTGGACCTTTACATTACATGACGTTGTCTTATCGTTCCGTTATATTTGATTGCTCTTGTTGTACTGCATTTTCGATGACACAGGGAGGGGGGTGGCGAGGGAGGGATTTTTGGATTCAATGGGATTCTCACTTGGTTTTCAACACAGCTCTCATCTTTCTGCGTTATAATTGGCGTTCGTTGGTGAGTACTCCCACCTGGCCAGCGTGCAATAATAATAATAAACCTATACAGGAGCCCTAGAGGGTCTTTGGTCTCAGCCAAAATACCCTCTTAGAGCAATGGTTGCCAACCTCACTGGATCCACAGTCCCACCATCCAGCCTCAACAATTATTTTCAGACCACCGTGTACCAATAACATATCAACACCACGTATATTTGCAAATCAAAACGAATCGTCGTATCTGCAACAGTCCCGCAGCCCCGCTTCACATGGTGCCTGGGATCGCAGGCTTGGAGGCACTGCCATAGAGGGGCTCTGTAGAGCGGCCTCTAGAGAGAAATTATAGGACTCCACCTTTTATTTAGAAATATATATCTCCGGGTTAAAGTGCAGATTTTACAGAGGACTTGGCCTGCAGTCCTGGAGCCGAGGCTGACAAAGACGATGGCAAATAATGGTGAAGTATGCAGCAGCAGCGGCAGTAGCTGCGCGTTCCCTTTTATGGAAGTTCTTAAGCTGCTCGCAGAGTTCACCTGAGTACTGTTGGAGAGGCTTACATTCTCTGCCGAATATGTAATCTTTTCCGGCGAGCTGGGTATGGTGTACGTATTTTCTCTTTGCAGCTGAAAGATGTGTTTATGTGAGAAGTTAAAGTATAAATACACGGTCGACCCAGTGTAGAGCCCAAGACGCACACACACGCGCACACACACGCCACACGCGCAACTCACGTGTTTGCAGGGCATTACCCGTGCAGTTAGGCAGATACACATGCACTCTCACATGAAGATCATATATGCGGTGAACATTACACATCCAAGTCACAAACACATTTTTCATAATAGCGGATATTAGATTATTACTACGATAACAATCGTAATGACGTCGCTTTGTCAAGCCACTGCTGAATGAGGGCCTGCCCGTGCCGGTGTCAGTCACGGAGGTCGTTTGTCCACGCTTCATCGCGCTGGTCACTGCGGGTTGGTGAAGTTGGGCGGAGAGCGGCATTCCATCACGGGGTTTCAGATACCACCGATGACAGCCGTGGTCGCGAATTGAACTCCGATCACCGGAGTTCAAATTCTCGAACGCGGCTATGAATGCGGGAAACGGCGCGCACGCGAGGCCAGCACCACGAACAGACGTCCTGCTTTGGTCTCCTCCCAAAGTCGATGTTCACACGCTGCGCGCGATACCGATTTGAGGCCCAGTCGATCCCTAGGGGAGTCCCAGGCGCCCAGTTGACCGCCGGCGCTCACCGCAGACACGCCGCACGCGTGCTGCGTCCGCGCCGTCACTGCTCACCTGCGCATTAATTCGCGTTCGGCGCCAGTGACAGCATCGCACCTGCAGCAACAGAGGCGGCTCCCGGACGTGGCGAACGCTGTATTCTCGCTCAATTTGGCTGCAACTGTTGGCAAAAGCTGTGGCTAATTAGAACGAGAGTGAAACGCCGCCTTTGTTTAATAATCCCTTAGAGCTCGCATTCCCACCGATGCAATTGAAAATGATTATTTTTCTGTTTTCAAACGTTGAGGCGGCAATGCTTTATATTTGCGTGTGCCAGCTCCTTAAAGGTCCGATTTTTTTATTTATAAAAAAACAAACATTTCCGTCTTTTAAAAAAAATCCGGTATTTGAATAACACGTGGACTCGGCGTGGACACGGCTGTACGAATGTTGAACTTCTTTCGCCCCGTACGTAGCCCACCGTGCCAATCGGGTGGCGAGGAAGGCGTGAGTGCAGATGACAACTCGGCTCCAAGCTCGGCCGTGGCACTCATGACCTCGCTATTCACGGATGGTAACATTCAGGCGTATTATTCGCATTGTCTCGAGTGGAGAAAATGTTTCGCGACCCAGTTTAAAGAGTGTGTATTTATGAATGCACCGGCTCAGACGCGTCACGTGATGACGTACAGTGGAGTTGCAATTGACTGCATATTTTGTTTTTATTTGTTCATTTTCAAGTGGAAAGGCTTTAACTTAGCGTTACCATGCACTTCACAAGGTGAGTGATGATGCAGCGCTCAATGTCACTCGCTCACCCGCGGTCCGTCACCCCCTCGTCACTCTCCCGATTTCCACTGCGAACGCGGTGGCCGCGAACGTCGCGACCCCTCTGCATGCCTCCACCCCAAGTTGAGGACACGCTACACCCCGAACACACTTCACTGTAGATGCGAACAGATACAAAGCGGCGCTTTTACGTCTGCAGGCAACTCTTGTTGAGGCCCGGATAAGACGCGCCTCCATTGTCAGGAGTGCTACCGTTCGGGCGGTCGCCGGCATTGCTCAGCACCTCGCGGCCATGTGGCAGCCATCGCCGTCGACTCGCAGGGGGCCACATTCTGCGGAGCGCCTACGTCACAAACGAGTTCCGGCGATGCCCGGGCGTGGTTACCGTGGAGAACAACAACAGGATACTGTAAACCTGCCCCTAAAATAAATCTCTCCGAACATCTGACAATAATTTAAACCGTTTCTTTATATATTTTTTTCCTTTTGGCGCTCTAGAATGCGAGTCGTACACGGGCGCACGTACGTAATTTCGAGCACAGGTTTTGGAACGCGCTATTCCACGGCTGTGCTCGTCATCAAAAATTGCATCAAGCAAAAAGACTGCGTCCGTCACGTTTCGCCGGAGGAATCCCTCGCACGTTCGAAGGCTTCGATGGAGAGAGGGAAGCACGACTTGGACACAGGTAAACCCTGGCATCTCCACGGCAATAATCCGAGACCATGGCAAAGGCCTGAGAGCAGACGGTGGGAGAATATCAGGGCAGACGTTTGACGTTCTGTGTTGTCTCGGGCGCAGCAGCTGCGGGGTTCGGAAGAGGGTAAAGAGATCACCTTGACGGTGGTGGTGGTGATGGCATCAACGGCTGTGGTCGTGCTGACGTCTTGATCCGATCTTCGAACGGTCTCGACGTGCATGGCTAGCTTCTTGTTTTAGAGTCGACTGATCCAGCGAGGAGCCCACGCCCCCCAAAAAAACAAACAACAAATTCCATTGACATGCGCAACTATGGGTGGAATTCAGCGTGCCAAGCGTCAACCCAAGCACTCCAGACAGTCTGACTGGCTCACACCCACGCACGCACATGTACAGGTCATGCACCTCCACCATTGTTAGCATAATTACACGAACGTGTGGCCAATGCTTGTTAACCAACAGCATTCAGCTTGAAAACTTGTTTTTATTTTAAACCAGAGACCTGCAAACACGCAGTTTACAGAACAACGATGCATTTGGGAGGAGACGTAATGTCTGATTGTTAAATGTGTTACTTGAGACTCTGCACAACAATGCCAATGATTATTTTGTGTTGTGCATGATACAGTTTTGCTTTGAAACATGACCCACATTTGCCTAAAAACATCTAACAGTTCACCAGAATTTGTGTTAGCAAGACTGACTCTGCTCATGAGTCACTGAATGTCAAAACCAGTCTAGAGTTTGCTTTGTATGAAACCAATGCTGTTGAAAAATAAATCTCCAAAAAGGCTGTGTGGCTGATGGGACGTGGAAGTTTTTTTTTCTCATGTGGATGGATAGATGTGGGAAGGAGGCATGTCGTTCGCTTATTTAAACATGCCATCTGTCAGAAGATGCCCTTCAGCATACCGAAGCAATCAAGCGTTTTGGGTAAGTGCTGTTAACTCGCGGCAGTCTTTGCATATGAGGTTGAAAGAAAATCGAGATGTCCTTGCAAAGAGCCTCTGACAAGAATCCGGCGGACAATGGACCATTGGCTGTGGCCTCAAGTGGAATCAGGATACAGCCATGGCCGGTTTTAATTAATTACAAGTGACTCACGTGATTGGCACTTCCTTGAGATAGCAACACAGATAAGCAGCTCCAATATCAAATTAGTCAAACAAGGCAGCTTCTGGTGAAAAAAAAATACCAAAATGGCTTTGAATTATTATTATTTTTTATCGCATATGGTTTGCGTTAACTGCATCACCATCATCAATAAACTCACACACTTTGATTGGGCTTCAGCACTGGCCTCTGGGGATCTGAGAGTTGAACTGAGAACACAGAGACCGTGATTTAGGAGGGGAGGTGGGTGGGGGGGACTACAAACACCCATCATCTTTCTTGTCCTCGAGTAAAAATGTGTCCACAATAAACAACTGTGCGTCGGATCCAAACAGGGTGGCCAGGAGGGCCGAGCCGCATGTGCAAATCAAACAGCGGTGCACGCCAGCCGGGCGAAGCCGAGGAGCGGTATGTCAACTGGAAGGTTGCGAGTTCCAATTCCTGGTTGGGGGGAGGGGGGGGGTTGAGTCGGTCCACCGTCCTTCAGAGTTCGACTAAATTCCTGCCACCTTGCGGGAAAGTCAACAGCGGTCGTCCTGTGGAGAGACGTATCCGACCGTAGGAATGTGGAATTTCCACCAATGGCTCGGGGTTATAGACAGGGGATGAACACCAACTCAGTGCTCATAAGAGCAGGACATTTGTATTTTACGTTTAACTTTCTCATGGCATTTCAAGACCAACGGAAACGTTTCTAACTGTAGGCGACTGCAGTGAACACATGAGTTGGCGATTAAGAGAAATACCTTGAGCCAGATGGTGGGCTACTGCAAGTGCAGACTTCGAACGCGAGGCGTCCGCTGGGCAGACGCCGAGTGAGCCCGCGGCCGCACTCGGGTGCTGGGTGCGCTGGCATGAGCGGCATTGGCCGTGATGTCGTCTCGCGCCGAAGTCTTACTATTCCCGGAAGGGCCCTTCCTGTAACTTCCCATTATAAGTAACGCATTACCTCTGGAGTGAATGCCATGAAAATACGGGGGCATGTTTCCACTTCCAATTTTTTTTCTCTCTCAGTGCCGTGTTCGTGCCAACAACAGTCGGACTTTCTTGAAGCAGTGCTTTTATATCACATGCAAATTCTGGACTCGCTCGTTCAAGTCACGCGTGGCTTCTCGAGTGGCCTCCACGTACGCGCTGCGAAGGGCTCATTGCCCGAAACGCCTCTTTTATGATGTTTTTTTTTCCTTTATAGGCCACTGCAGAGTGATGGGCGCATGTGTCGAGTTTTAATTTTAAAAGCAAGAGTGACGTCCAGAGTTTGCCTCCTTAAAGCAATGCTCCTATGAAACCTTATTCTGGAAGGCGCACAGACTGATTAGCGATTTTTTTTTATTTTGAACTTAGTGACACAGTCTACTGCGCAATGCTCATTCCGATATATCAGCATTTAAGTGATATTGAAAATAAATAAAATCTCCACTCACTCGAGTTGCACCGGAGGCATCTGTGGCTTGGTACCGACGCTGCTGAGGATCAGAAATCAGAATATTCGTTTTTACCGGAGGAATCCGATGAGCTACAAAGTTACTTTTCCACACATGTCCAGTGCTGTAAGTAGATACAAGAAGCGCACCGGTGATGTCCGAGTCGATGCGTCTCACACGTGGCATGTAACGTTCGCATGCCACGTGGCGTGTAGATGTGCGATCTAAACATGATAGAACCCAGGATCCAGTGGCGAAGCAGCCACAGATGGGATTCGTTAATGAGGCTCAGCAGCCCTCTGCCACTCCGTGCGCACACGATGACCCACAGACTCAAAGAGATCACTGCACGGGACCCCACAGTCATTGAAAGTATCCCCTCTTTAAGACATACCTGAATATCTAAACCAGCACTGCCACCCTCCATACCCATCAATTCCTTAAACAAAAAACAATTAATCGCCGTTCCCCTGATTGTAAGTCGTGCCAATCCACTGCTGGATAAGGGCCTCCCCAACGTGAGGTCACGGGGTATATTTGACCCCGACATTCCCTTCGCTTCATTGCACACCACATATATGTACGAAGCGTTTAAAGTTATTAATATATGATATTTTCATACACACACAAATACAATGATATGCACGATGCCTAAACAGAGTGTCGGGACAAGTGCTGTTAGCGATCACCTATGATGACGGAAGTGGTGCGGCTAGCGCCACGCCCAGCCGCCTTTGTCTCACCAGTGGTGACATTTATACACCGCACCAGATACTCCTTTATAACCAAGGTCGACATAGGGGAGGCCCAGCACCGGCTCAGACATTCACCGCTTCCGTTGGAAGCCGTGGCTGGGGATCTAACTCAGTTCACCAGGCTTGATGCCCGGTGAACGCCGCCGCTGTACACTCGCACGCACGCACGCGGAGCGGGGGTGTCATTCGCGTTCTTTCTTTATCGCTGGGCCCGCGAGAGTGCAAGCCAGAACGCACCCCCGCATTCTTTCGCCCGCGTGAGGTTCTGGGGCTTGGCGCCTCGCCTCCGATACTGCTGCTGCTGCTGGGTGTGGCTCCGCGTGCTCCCAGTCGTGGTGATGGCCACAGCGAGGGGGGACATTGCAATGTTATCGGGAAAAGGCAGCCGGCCGTCGTCTGACGCGTCAGTTTCATTTATTTGGTATGGCCCTGTGAGCCATTCGGCTCTTGAATCGGGTGCAACCGCAACAAACAAAAACTAAAACATGAACAAGAAAACATCTTAAAGTGACTATGCGCAAACAGAAAAATCCAGGAAAAAACAGCAAAATCTTCCAGAAAAAGCACCGTACACCAACGCTGTGTGCAAAAATCCCAGTGGGATGCAAGTGAAACAACAACAACAACCACAAAACAACTTAGATTAAAGCCACCAATTTAACTCCGTACTACAACAAACAAACATGGCCAGACCAAAAAAACTTTTCGAACCCACCAAAATAAAGCCATAAAAGCAATGTAACAGTGATCGTAGGAACTGTGACCGAAATGTCGCACTAAACGACATAAACAACATGTACCACCAAACCCTGTAGCCATAGCTGGCTGCACGAGTCAC